GAAATTTTACGCAATAAAATTGAAAAATTCCCAAAGAAATTCTTATTCTCATTTCCTTGATTTTTATGAGCTTGCTGCGCGTGATAGGTTTGACTCGATGTAAAATGCGCTCGGTCGCCTCCGAAACGTCCTTGATATATAGAAGTGCATGCCATACCACAGGGACTGTGTCGGGTCTGGTCATTTCGGGCGCGAATGCGTAGTCATCGGCTTATGAGCACCCTCGGATGGCCTTTCCGCATAAACTAGTCGCGGAGATGTCGAGCCTCGCGTGCTTTTTCTTCCGAGTTCCTGCCGTGCGTCTGGACTTGTTTGATCAATGGTCTCATACAGCTCCATTTGAGAGCCACTGGAGGGTGCGCTGAAAATGTAGAAGATGCAAGGTGCTCACCACCTTCCTGTATATTTTAACATGACGGTGTCAGTGTTGACACTTTCGTAACTCGATGCAATCAGCCCAAGGCGGAGCGAAGCTACGAACTAGCTCCGAACCAACAGGACAGCATTTGGGTTCTGATTTTCCTGCCTCGGCACTGTCCACTATGTCAACTACATCTTCCGAAGTTGCTCCGTCGTTTCGGATGGCGACAAGAAGAAAGCAGGACAGAAAACGTCCGTGAATCGTCCATTTTTCTTCCAGTATTTTCCTACAGCTGCTACTCTCGTTTGTTTAAAATGGATAGAGGTTCTTTACAAGCAACAACGTAGTTTACTATGCATAACCAACTACTAATTTTGATTTGGTTTATTTTTTGGTTTAGTTTAGTGATTATTTTGTTTGTTAAATATTTATTTTCGGACGGCGGCCAGAAAAAGGCAGGACAAAAATGCAGCTGTTTGTCCTGCCAATCAACTGGTGAAACAGCGTTTTGTCTGTTTTTGTTTGTTGACTAAAACCAAACTAGAACTAAACTAAAGCTAACAAAATTAAAAGTATTGGCCGCACGCCAAACATTTCCGTGTAAGAGTGCAATGGAGTAGTAAATGCTGAATACGTACACAAGAAAACAGACCTACTTCAACGAAATAAGTTGTTAGTTATGTATAGTAAAGTAGGTGTTACTTATAAGGAATACTTACCGGTGTGTCCATTCTTCTTCCAGTCTTTTTCTGCAACTGATACCCTTGTTTGTTTAAATATGTACCATATGTATACCTAAATGCACAATCACATCGACCTCACGCACTATCCGCAGCAGTGAACTATTTGATAATGTCCGCCACTTTTTAACGTGGTCCTACGGCGTGGTGTGGAAGGCCCACGAAGACTAAACGCAGCTAGACCAATGCCTAACCGCCCACCTCTTTGGGTACAGCGTAATAAGTAGCATTCGAAGAGGAATGGGGGAGGGGGAGGGTAATTGAAAGCCGATCAAATGATGAGGCGGGAGGTTGCCTACCCACTCTATAATTGTTAGCTGCTTGCGAGTGTGAGAATTCAATGCTACACTACGTTGTCTGTGGCGCTCACGAACGATGGTAGTTCTGGAGGATGCAGACATTTTCAAGCGTTTACCAGATAAGGATAGCTGATATAAAATCTGCATCTCTTATGTTAAGTAGTTATACTGCACAATAGTTAGCACTTATCCTTATCGTCCTCGTCCTCCTCGTCCCGACGGAATCCCAGACTGTTCTACTATTACCTATGATTAAGGATTCCCGAGGGAATCTGAAACATCAGGAAAATAAACCTTACCTATGATTAAGGATTACCGAGGGAATCCGAAACGTCAGGACAATAAACCTCGTGTTCCAATGATCTCTTCTTCTTCTTCTTCTTCTTCTTCTTCTTCTTCTTCTTCTTCTTCTTCTTCCTTTTCTTGTGCTTCTTCTTTTCCTCGTTCGTCTTAATAATATTCCAATTCTGCTTCTTCTGCTCACTCATCTTCTTGCCCTCTTCTTTTTCGCTACATTTTTCAACTACCACCAACCCACACACCCCCACCACCATCATCGCAACCACTAACACAACCTACAAATCCCATCACCAAAAACGGCAATTCGACCATCGGGTTTTAACGATGTCCACCATGTGCCTCACGACAGGTGGGAAATAAGCACGGCGATCAGCGCGTGAATTATTTTCAAGTGATAGTCGACTTGCGTTGCATTATCTGATCCCCTCTTCTCCGGTGACGGAGCCAAGGAGATTGGACGTTGGATGGGGTGCGTGTGACTGGCACGACAAAAGCCACACGTAAGCGTACCGCCACGCTCCCTGATCCACAGTAAACACTAGGTCAGGAGTTTAACACAACCAAAAGTTTTATATCAGAGATGGTATGCATTCAGAGCGATATAATGAAAAAGGGCAAGAAGTCCTTTGGAAAACTCAAGTTGTACTTGTGAAGTTCCAAGCTGGTGACACCATTTCGTCATCAGACGGCAACTACCGTCAGTCTATTATAATCCTTTTCTGCTCCCTCTTCTCCCCCCACCATAATCATCTAGTCCTTTGTCTATTGTTTTTAAGGGTGGAGCCGCAGCGCAATTCGCAGCCGTGCCCATGAACCTCTTCGGCGGAAACTCTAAGACAGCAGACTACCTGGTCACCGGAGCGTGGTCCGCAAAAGCCCTGGCGGAAGCCCGAAAGTACGGTGACTGCAGAGAAGTCTGCCCTCGGGATGATGAGTTTAGGGGTAGGCATTTTTTTCTTCTTCTTCCTTTCACATTTGGTCGGCTCTGTTTGATGGCAACAGCAGGAGGAGTGAGAAATGCGATTTAAGCGGTGGGCCGCAGTCGAACAAATGTCCAGAACACCTTCGCTCCCGAAAGGGGCTAGGTGAAGGGAGGCACCTTCTATCCTTTTCAGCCTGGGGAAACAGTGAATGTGTCGAAGTGCTTGAGTGGATAAAGCCAAGGTTTCCCACATCAAAAGTTAAGGAAGACAGAGTAGGTTGGACCAGCTTTATGCTGCGAGAAAAGGGATCTAAACAAAGGACTCTGTCAACCGCTACGAACTAGCTATACCTGCGAACAAGTTGTATCAGTTTGTATCCGCTGTTAGGTAGTCCTGACTCAGGGACGTGTTTTTCGTCAACTACGGCCAATCAAATGAATTGCTGCACATTGATTGGCTTCGAGCTAATACGG